ACTCCCTTTATACAAGATTTGCGTGCCACTACAGGACCTTGGTTGCAACAATGATCTATGTGGTCCCAGATTATATCAATAACGTCACACCTTCCTAGTCAGGTGGTCGGTAATACATTCCTACTGCTCTCTGCTTATTCACACATGGAATTTCTATCCACAGAGATGCTCTGGTACCGTCTGATTCTGATTTTCACTATATTTGACTCTGCTTTCCTTCACATACAGTGCCGCTCGCCCACCAGCGCAGCTACTCTGTCAGTCCGGGATATTTTGTACCCTGGTATTACAGTGTCCCGGTTATCATCGTTCTACCAAGTTTCTGTGATGCCGCCTATATCAATAGCCTCATTTAATACCAGGTGCTCAAGTTCACCCAGCTTAATATTTAGACTTCTAGCGTCCGTGTACAAGCCCGTGTAACATTTGTCGCTAGTGAATTGTCTGCCTTCATGGGAAGTAATTGAATGGGACTCTTTTTCATTTGACTGTTTCTCTGCAGTTCCTACCTCGATCCCCTCCTCTCTACTAGGATATAGAGAATCCCCTTCAATAAATCCTCCCCTAAGGCATGTCTCAGAACCGCGTGCTCCTGCGCCTCTCTCAGCTGTCCCCCTCCTCAATGAACGGTTGAATTTTCCACGCCAGCAATCTGGTTCTGTTTTGGCTTCGGTGGAGCCCGTCCTTCCTGTACAGGCTCCTCCTTCCCCACATGGTTCTCCGGGTCCTAACAAACCTAAACCCGCCTCCCAGCACCATCGTCTCATCCACGCGTTGGGGCCCTGCAGTTCTGCCCGTCTTACTGGCCCTGTGTGTGGAACTGGAAGCATTTCAGAGAATGCTCCCAGGAGGGTCTGGACTCGAATCTCTGACCTAGCAGCCTAAATTTGGCCTCCAGGAACTCCCTCCTACCATTCCCTACATCACTGGTACCTACATGTACCACAACCACCAGCTCCTCCCCAGCACTGCGCAGAAGTCTGTCTAGAGATCCACAACATTCGCACCCAGCAGGCAATTCACCGTGTGGTTCTCCCGGTCATCACAACCCAACTCTCTAATAACCAACCCCCATGACTGTCTCCTGTCTCTTCCTAACAACAGGGTCCCCTCCCCTGGAGGGGTGTCCTCAGTGCGAGAGGATACCAGGACATCTTCTGGAAGGAGGCTCTCAACTACAGGACTCAGTTTCCCTCTGTTCTCCGTCCCCGAGACTTTCACCCTCCCCAACAGCACAGAAGCTGCCAGACTGGGGCTGGGCCTGCTCTGCTGTGTCCCGGAAAGCCTGGTCTGTGTCCCTGGCTGTCTCCCTGAGCTCCTCCGGTTCAGTCACTCTGGTCTCCAGAGCCCATACTCAGCGCCCGAGGGCCAGGAGCTGCATGCACCAAATATTCATGTACACCGCCTGCTCGGATGTGCTGCGTTGAGGGCAATAAACTGGATACCCCCCCACCCAGCTGCTGCCGTCTGCCTGTGTTATTTTGACTCTTCCCCAGGGGTGAGGGGGTGTTTGTTTGTTCTTTGTGGATGTTGCATTATTGGCCTAAGTTTAGAGAATGTTTATTAGAGTGTGTTTGCATCTCATGCTCCCTCACAAGATAGATAGATAGATAGATAGATAGATAGATAGATAGATAGATAGATAGATAGATAGATAGATAGATAGATGGGGTGATGGAGATAGATAGATAGATAGATAGATAGATAGATAGATAGATAGATAGATAGATAGATAGATAGATAGATAGATAGAATAGATAGAGGGGGTGGATGGGAATAG